ATATATGTATATATATATGTATATATATATGTATATGTATATATATGTATATAGGTCCAGAGGGCTGTAACTTGTTCATCTACCACCTGCCACAAGAGTTTGGAGACAATGAACTCATGCAGATGTTTTTGCCCTTTGGTACAGTCATCTCTTCTAAGGTCTTCATGGACCGGGCAACCAACCAGAGCAAGTGTTTTGGTGAGTTACTTGTTCTAACAAACACACAAGAAGTACAAGAGACAAAGATGTACATTTAGATAATAATCATAACCATAAAGAAACAGTGTAAAAGCTGAATGCTGGATGACTTTGCTGAAGAAGCTGAAACTGGGTTGTTGAAACTAAAAAACAGAACACTAGCTAAAGGCTAATATAAGCAAAACACAAGGTGAATGCCAAAAATTGCAAAACACAATCTAAAAGTTAAAAGTAGCTGGATACTAGCATAAAGCTAAATGCTACAAAAAGCTTGATAAATGTATCCAATTAGTATCTAGAAGCTAAAAGTAGCTAAAAACTAGCTAAAAAAAACCAAAAATAGATAGATGTTCGGTGAAAGCAGCAAAAGGTTATCTAAAAACTAAAGGTACCAAAAAGCTATCTAAAACCCAAAAAGAGTGAAAGATTTCAAAGAGAGCAATGCTTTTAAAGGAAATGAGATCATCAGAAATTACCTGATTCATGTCAGATGCACATCTAGCATAAATGCCCATCAGTGTATTTCTGCACAAAACAACGTAACGTTTTGCTGAATATTCAAACTTTTTTGGTAGTATGTAAAAACGTTTTTTTAATAAAAAAACTATATTTATTTAAAAAATGCAACAGAATTGGCATCTTGGTGTTTTCTGTCTTGGCGCGAGTGGAGTGAAAAACACACATTGTCACTGAGCACATTGTTACCAATCAGACAGGTAGACGTTGTCGATCAGACCGAGCGTCCTTGGCTCTGCTCGGCAGATGACTGACCAGGAAACCCCGAGGTGGTGCACCAGCATCCTCGTCACCGTCCTGTAACCCTCATTTCTGTCTATACCTTTTACTGTTGAGGCTGATCTATACACCTCAACCTTTTGTGCCCCCCGTTCAGCTCCACAGGCTGACCTCACAGCTGCAGAAAGCCTGATGAGAGGCTGACACACAGGACAGTTGTGGATCAGGGATGATTCCCTCTCTGTGTCTGTGTGCCTTCGTATTGGTGTGTGGACATAATTTGACTTATTACATTACATTTTGTCATTGTGTGAACATTTGTCTGGTCCACACAGTGGGGAAAAAAAATTGTGGGTCAGAGTGGTCAGGTTTGGGGCTAAGGTATGAATTACACTTAGGTTAGGGTTAGTTATGTACCTGTGAGGTTAGGGTTAAGGGTCAGGGTTAGGTTGTATAAATTAATGGAGGTTAATGCAAAATCCACATAAGTATAGAGAGATAAGTGTGTGCACAGATAACATATTAATTTATTCATCATTGCAGTATTGACTCGGACTGTGCGTTTGCAGAAAAAAATGTTTGTTCTAAAGAAGGAGTGCGCACAGATGTGTTATTAATCTAATAGTCATCCATTATTGCATCTACTTCCTCCCACCCCCAATCTGAACTTATTGAGCAGATCACCTCTTTTTTTTTTTACTTCCAATTTTTCTAGCAGTTATCATGCAAGCCTCCTTCTTCTCACARAGCCCTAACAGGTCAAACCAAACCGAACAAGGCCGGGACGGCACTGTTCCCCAGGTGGCCGTGGACATGGAGGGGCCCGTTTGCTTTTTCACGGGTCATTAAATGGCTTCAGAGACGCAGGAGAGCACATCAAGCTGAGACACTCTGTGCTGCAGTTTCTGCTCACGGAAATCTCAAGGTTTAATGTTTATACCTCCTRGAAACAGGATGTTATCTTCAAGAAATGCACTGATGGGTTGGTTTCTGCAGCAAACCTATTTTCTAACGTTTGCTCTTTTGTTTTGATCAGACTTTTTTTAACGTGTGCGATAAAGTGTACTCAAACYTTTTCCTATTGGACATAACCTTTGCTTCCATTAGATTTGTTAAGCTTAGTGAAGGTTAAACTTTGTCTATGAATGCAGGCACTTTTAAAGACTGTACAAACAGGCAGTTAAAGAAAATCACCCCCCACCCCCCAAACTCCATGACTGCCYTTTTACATTATTTAGTTGGACCCTCTAAAATAAGCTGCAAAATTCAGGACAAGGACCACAAAGGCAGCTTAATATTTCATCTATTCGAGAGGAATAAAATTCTAATAATAATAATGTGAAGAGTGATGTAACTGCCCTCAATATGTTGCACAAATGTCCCACCCAGTCTGTTAGCATTAAAGAAACAACAACTATTGCACTGCAGCCTGAACGTGCTCCTCACCCTAATGTCATGTTGCCTTTTTCCCAAAAGCTGTCAGGGCACAAGGATCGCATTATTCAACCATTWTTTACACCTTTGCTTTCATGAGCTTGTCATTTTTCCCCCACAGGTTTTGTAAGCTTCGACAACCCTGCTAGTGCACAAGCAGCTATTCAGGCTATGAACGGCTTTCAGATTGGGATGAAGAGATTGAAAGTACAGCTAAAGAGACCGAAGGATGCCAGCCGCCCTTACTGACACAGCCTACCTTCAGTATTCTCTGCAGCAGCACAGGTGAGGCAAGAAAAGTGTCAAACTGCTGGTTCCAAACCAAGATTTCTGTAATATTTCAACATTTGACTGGTTGTAATTGTGTCACGTTATTGAGTCAAATTTGGTAATGTTCAAAAACTGCAATCAAAACCTAAAAACTAATATTAATTACTGTATATGTTTAGAAAAGGAAATGTTCTCCGTAAAAGCTAAAGTCATATAAACATTTMAAAAAATTGACCCCTTGTATCCTTTGTTAAGATGACTAAGTTTTCTTTAAAAGGGAAGAACATCATGCATACAGTATGTGCTGGCACTCTAAAATAAAACCAGCCTCTCACACTTTAAGCTAGTGACACTTTGTGCAAATAAACCTAATAATTTTGGTACGTCTTAAAAGGTAGTACATTTAAATCACCACTACATAAACAA